TCTATATATTTCGTAACAAAGATAAAAATAACTTTTATAAAAAATTGTGTATACCCTATCAAAGTTTCTTATTCTTTTTTAATTCTCATTCCCCGCCTCCTCTTCAAATTTCTTGCCTTTTAAAAAAATATAAGATTAGGAAAGTAAATATTAGTTCCATTTGTTCCAAATTATATTTAAAAAGGTAAGGAATACATACAGATATCGTTCTAATTTGATTGAGGTGAACTCGAAATATTTAATTCTCCGACCAAATTATAGATATATTTATATAGTTATTTTTATTCTAAAAATCTTATTTTATATATATTTTCTTATTTGGTGTTCAAAAAAAAATTTAAATAATTCAAAGTTCATCTTTTAAAAAAAATAAATTTCATTATTTTAAATCATTTTAGAAAATTGAAAATATTGAATGTTAAATGATTTATTATATAATTTTCCAACATTTTCAACCGATATTATTAAAATGTAGATTTATTTTTAAAAAATCGGTCCAGCCTAGTGTTTACAAACTATACCATTTTACGGCTCCTTCATGGCCAGTCCTGCAGTATACAAAATAATAAATATAATAATTTTAAGAAAGATAATTTATTTTAAATATATAGTCTAAATATATTATAGAGATTTTAATTTTTTTTTATACCCAAACCGAGTCAGGCCTAAAAAAATTTTTTAATACTTGGGCAGGGCCTCGCCTAAATTTTTTTTTAAAAAAATATAGCCGGTATATTTTAAAACCATATATTTTAAATCTCCAATTAGCTATAAAAATTAAAAATAAATGTAATATATTTTAAAAAATCCGGGCAGGGCTAAAAAGTGTTTTTTTTTAAAAAATCCGAGCCGGGCGGTGCAAATGTTACCTCTGCCGGTCTCTGATATTTTCTAACAAATATTATAAGTAAATTTTTGGTACAAAAAATAACTAGGAAACATTTTAAACATAGAAACTGACTCCCCAGACCACCCCCTCCCCCCAATCTAAAAGGTTAAGAAGTGTGTTGCATAACAAAATATGGAATATTTTATATTTGAAACCAGATCGAGGCATGGATAGTAATTTATTTTTAGTCGTTTTAAAAAAAAATCAACTAAATTAGTGTAATAAAGTCATACCCACTCTTATGTATAAAATCCGATATCGTAGAATCTTAACTTTATTTGATCTATTACATTTTTATTTAATATTTTAATTTACTAATTTTTCCCTTGTTGACTGATCATTTTTAACACATTTATTAGCTGTTATATTTTATTAATAGATATTTTTTTTATTAACAATTCCTGATTTGTATTAATTGTATTTCTGTTAAAGGAAGAGAGTAATGGTGATTACAAATTAAGCAGAAGCGCTAGCATGTTTTGGCTAAATAATTATTTGTTGTTTTGAATTGGTATTTTCTAAAAGGCGAAATTTAAACTATTTTACATTTTTAAATTTTTCTAATATTGTTTAAGTTTTATTTAATTAATTGTTAAATAATTTTATCATTCATGTTTCGATATAGGAACACATGTAGCTCAAACATTTAACAATTATATTTTAAAATTTCCTACAATATTGTCTAATAATATATAAAGTGTAATTTTAATAATTTTAAAACACCTCTATTTAGTCATGATTGGATAAGGATTATCAAACAGCATCAATTTACTTTCAAGCATTTAATGATGGATGTGGTTGACAAAGAAGAAATTTCTAATGCTTATTTAATAGACAATAAGAAATGAAATGTCCTTAAAAATTTTGCACTTATGATTTAAGAACGTATATCTAAATTATAATTGAAAATTTTGTTTATCTTTTAATAAATGCATTCGTAATATATCCATTGTTTCGTGATAATGACTTCGCGCAAATAAATTGCGTAAGAAATTCGCTGTAAAGGGTTCGTGATAAAGTGTTTTAATATATTTGCGATATTGCTTTGGCTTTAAATGTTTTGCGAAAACTTTTTGAATCAGGTTCGCGATATTACCTTCGTTCTAAAATTTATTTGCTTAAAGTTTTGCTGAATTGATCTCATTAACAAAATCAAATTATAAATTTATTTAAATTTATAACATTCATTATTATTGATTCTATATTTTAATATAAACTTTTAAGAAAAATTTTCAATTTTGTAGACCTCGAAGAATCATATAAAGTAGGAAAATCAAAATGCATATTATTGTATTTGTATCGGTATGTAAATATTGATAACATTACAATAAAAGTAGTTATTTTAAAAAATTTTTAAACAGACATAAAAAAGGTTATTTTATTATTTTTATAAGCCCAATTATAGTATAACAAAAGGAAAATTTTTTGAAATTTTTAGATATAAATATATATACTAAGGTTGGTATAGTATAAATTCTAATCTGAGCAATCGCTAAAACTAGTATTAATTTTTTGGCGATAAAATTTGGAAAAGATATCTATAATAGATATAAATATAATGAGATAAATTTTAGGCAAATTCAAAAATATAATACAAAAACTAATTTCGACTTTAATCATAATCGTTGCCATGTCGAGGTGGTTAATTGTGCAAGACTTTGCTATTTGTTATTATATAATGTCATTTCAATATTTTTGTTTTAAGCTTTTGAGATATTTTTGGTTTATAAAAGACCCATATCCCTTTTTCAAAACCTAGCCCCTAAGAGTTAATAATTAATAAAATGTATTTAAAAAAACGTGAAATGTAAATAATATTAAAAAAATATTTTAAAGACATTAATATGTATGAGCCCTCTAGTTTTTCTTGTCATTTTTTCACCTGTAAATGTTATAAATTTGATGATACATAAAAAAATGTGGAAAATAAAAAGAATAATGACAATTTTGTTAGAATTTTTAATCAATCATATATTGTTAATGTAAAAATAAGAAAACGTTTGTGTTAAATATAATATATTATTAAAATTATTCGCGACAATGTGAAAATTTAAAAAAAAAACATTCTTATAAGGGGTGGGGGAGGGGCTGCTTTAGTTTACAATGTCCAATAAATTTTATTCAAATTCAAAGTATCTAATTTTTCATTTTATTCCAAAAAATTATTTTTCTATATTTAAGCCTATTCAAAAAAGAATCGAATAGTAAGGAATATGAATAGTATATTATTCGTTTTTTGAATATGAATAAAGCAGTGGCGTCTCCAAGATTTTCCTATAAGGGGGATTTTTTGGGGAGGGGAGCGAAGCCCCCAAAACTCCTTTTAGCTGGCCTTGGGCCAGATTTTCCCTGGCTTTCTGGCCGGTCATATGTTAGAGCTATTCTATTAAATTATTCATAATTCAATAATAATTATATTAATATTTTTAACCTTTATTTATAATTCGCTAATGGATTTAAAGAAGAAATAAAGGTTATATCACAATTTTTTTTATCATTTTAAGTTAGGAATATTATATTTAATAAAAAAAAAATTTTAATGTAAAATTGAAATAAAGTTTAGTGTCATTTTTTAAATAAAATTTGCTTAAAAATAGCCTCAGCTTAAATTCTCATACAATATAAGTAGAATAAAAAATTTTTATTGAAAATACTAATTGTAGTGTGTATAAAATATTGACTAGAAAATAATTTAAAAAACTAATTTTTATAACTTCTTATCAAATACAATATTATACATAAAATTTATAAAATACTATAATTATTAACCCATTTAGCCGAAATCGAAAAGTCAACCCCCCCCCCCCCCATTGGTTACGCGCCTGGAATAAAGAAATATTCGATTCGAATATAACAAATGAATCAATAATTTGATGAAATTATTTGAATTATTCGTAACATCAAAATGTCGCATGTATTATAAAGAATCTGAACAGCAAGGAAAACTTTTTGCCTCAATTAAATTATTATTCATTTTGTTAATAACTTGATAGTATGTTATTTATCATCGTATTATTCTAAAACATTTTCTTTTTAGTTGTGCAATAAAAAAAATTAAAAATTCTAAAAATATATCCTTGTAATTTAATTCTATCCGAAACAAATTCATATTCTCACCAATTTAACTTAAAAAATGTCTCATGATCCTTTTTTTAAAAAAATGTCAATCCTGAATCGCGAGCCTATTTTTTTTTTTGAAAATATCGGAATCGGAATTTTTGATCTTTTTAAAAGGTCTATTGCCAATGTAGCTAGTATGCCAATAAGTTTATGATAGGAAGGTCGTATTGGCTAATGTTATTAAATGGCTCGATTTGAGCCGATTTTTAAAAAACGGCTAACTCAATATTTTAGCCACAAAAATATTACCTAAGCCACGAGATTTGATAATAGATGTCCACACCTTTGAACTACAGCCGTGGGCAAAATTTTATTGGATAAAATATTAAGTTCGTCGTTTTAAAAAATCAGCTCAAATCTTGCCGTTTAATAACACTACCTTTGACGAAAGCAAGAACAAATTTGTAATATTGAACATGGAATCAAATTGAAAGTATCTTTAAGGTTGCTCGAATTAAATTTAGTCATGTTGAATAGCCCCTCCTTAACAATGCCCACGAAGTTATTCTCATATTCCAGTTGAAAAAGTAAACCATTTTTGGGGTAATTGAGGGGGATTTAAAAATAAGTATTAAAATCTTTTAACATTAATAATAGATCAATGAAAACTAAATTCTGGTCCGATTTTTTTTATGGACCTAAATCCGGCCGTAGAATCGAATTGATAATAAATGTATTTAAAGCCCGTTTTAATTATAGGAATATAATATCTATAATAATCTTTTATAAACTTGATTCATTGATGAGAAAGAAATTCTAATTTAAACCAAATTTAGGTTGGGGGAGAGAAAATTTTTTGGGCAACTTTTATTTATTTTGCATCCTTGATTATTGTTCATAAACAAAAATGGTACCAATTTTTTTTAAAAAAAGAATTTAATTATATTAAAGCTAAAAAAATAATATTTACAAGGTGATGTCAAAATTGATTCTTTATAAAATATAAAATTAGACAAGTTTCCATTGTATTTATTATAAAACATATTTTTACCTTTGCACAATTTATCGGCGCATTGCTCATCGTTTATCGCACACTCCATGTCCAGATTGTCATATATCATAAGAAAATTCGAAATTCGTTTTTATGATTATTTTTTTCTCCCTACAAAAATATTCGCTCCAATTTTATTCAGTTTCTTTTTCTTCTTGATCGATTTATTTATTTTGGGAAATAATCTAAGAAATTTTAATGAGATGCTTTAATGAATAATGATTCCTTTCAGGTAGGAAGAAGATTGATTGGGAAAATCCTTGGAACAGATAATCTCCCTTTCATGATTTAGTCTAAAAATCAATTTTTTTTTAAAAAAAGAATAAAATATCGGTTTGGAATTTACGTCAAATTTTTTGAAGGAATGGATGTGAAATAAAAATAATTAAAATAATAAAGCAAAATAATTTTTAAAAATAATTTTTATCGAAAGAATAATAATTATAATAAAATAAAGTTTAAAAAATTTTTTTTAATAATTATTTATTCTTCCCTATTATAATGTTTAAATTCTTTAAAATTCATAATTCAAATTTGCTTTTATTAAATTTAAAAATATTAGTTTTTAGATAAATTTTTTTTTTCAAAATCAATAAATTTTTTTAAATAAATTAATATTTGAAAAAAATGTGATTACCGATAATAACTGAATTTATTTGAATACTTTTTTTTTCTAAATGAACAATATTTTTAATGTAAATTAATATTTTTAAAAATGTGATCAATAACTATCCGTCATTAAAATTTAAAATATTTTTTTTAAGAAGTTATATTTATTATTATATATTATGTAAAAATAATTTATATAAATTTTTTAAAAAAAACGTTTATAAAAAGAGGAAGAGCTAGAAAAAAAATAATAAAATTTATATTTAATCGAAGGCGGCAGGTATTTGATGATAATTTTTTATTTATTTTTATTATATTCTAACTTTTTTATTACCTTTATTCTTACTTACCTTTACATTTTTTTATTCATTTAAAAAAAATATTTTAATGAAAACTCCGGTCTCATTTGTACCCTTGAAAATTTGAGAAAACTGTCCCGATTTTAATGAATTTTATCTATCAAACAACTTATCTTAACTATAATCGAGTGTCTCTGATTGAGTTTACCTAATTATAGTGGGGAAGGAATAATTATTTCAAAAATTTCAATCCAATTCATTATTCCAAAGAGATTGCAAAAAATATAAGAAATTTTCAAATACTTGATCTGCCTGCCAATGTTTTTCATTTTTTAAAATCTCTATCCAAATAAAATTAGGAGATGCCAACTTCAGAAATCCCTCCTTTCTCTCAAAAAATTTTAAGAGCCCCTTCCCATCGCTTGAGCACTTGTATTTATTTTAAATTTGCCTTCTTTCCTCGAGTGTGTTTATTATGCTCCTGAAATTTCTTGCATCCCATTTAAAAATAAAATAATGAGTCTAAAAATATTAATAATCTTAGTTTGGCATATTAACCATTGTCTTTAAAATAAGAATTTTAATTTGTAAGAATCCTATGATTATTTAATTAAAATTCTGATTCCGTAAACACATGACCGTGTGAATAATTTTTTTACAAATTCATTATTTGTAAAATGATTTTTCTCGAGTATATACTATAAATCCGAAACTTAAAATATTTAGGATACGAATTTCCCCATTAACGTACTACATATTTTTGCTTTGCAATAAATATTAAATCTCCCTTTTTTTATTGTTTGCTAAATTATTATCGTAAAAAAAAATTTCTGGGAAGAAAAACATAAATTACTGGTATTTTGTCAATATTATATTCTCTATTTTTATGTTTATATATATTACTTTTTTAATAAGTTAATAATAAGATAACACATGAAAGTAAAAAAAGCAATTATATACCTTGAGATAATTCCTTAGTTAAGAATCTAGCTCACCTAACAAAAAAAGTTTGATTTAGTAATTGAATGGCGAGTCTTTGAAGTAAAAACCCTCTTTCGGGTCTTCAGTTTTGAGGGTTATTAGTTTACCAAGTTTTTTTTATAAAACTTTGTGCTTGCGTCTATATTGTCAAAGTGTAAAGAATTAGGATAGAGATAGTCATGAGGATAATTATATTCGGCGAGACGTTCCTATCTATGTTTGAGGACGCGAGAGGGTCGATAGGTACTCAGGCTACAAGTTTACATTCTTGCTAATTAAGCCTTGTTATACTAATCCCATCTCCGATTATAGATAAATGACCTATGGTAAGCCGTAGAGGGAAGATATGGATTTCAGAGCTGATTTAATAAATAAATTGCAGAGAGTGTGACGAGTGACTCTTCGACTACATTGTAAACAGTCTCGCTGAGATAACATAATAGTAGCATCTCGTGCATTTATAAGGTGGGATAATATTGCTGTTCAAAAGTATTGAGCAAATCTAAGTTCATGGTTGTTAAATTTTATTTCAAGATTTTTGGGAATTGGTTTAGAAATTCGTGCGCCGAGATCTTGATGAGCACAACGAAGGAATAACGATCTTCACATTGCAAATTTGAGTATAGTTAGTCAATGTGACATGCAACTTAAAAATTTCATTAGTCTAACATAAAAAGAACAGAACATCCTTTTAAACAACAAATTTGTTTGAGTTATATACCTAAAACATTTTGGCCACTAAGCTAAATTTAATATGAAATAATTCTATTTTATAGAATATATAAGGTTAAAATCATAATAAATATTACCATTTAGTACTAATTGGATCATAGAAATTGTTGCTATTTTGCTAAGATTTTCCTATGGCATCATGGGGGGGGGGGGTTAAAAACCATCTAAACCTCTCATTTTTTATGAACACTCAGTTGTTAATATCTTAGACTATGTAAAATTATTTTAAATATTTGCATATAACAAAATTTAGAGAGTATTTCATTATAGATTTTATTTATTATATAAAAATACTTAAGCATAAATAACTTTTCTTTATTTAATCATGTATTTATTTTTATTTAAAATAAATTTGTTGATATTTTATACAGATTATAATATATTAAAAATTTTAAAACACTATTTAAAAAAAATATATAATTTAACAATTCATAAAATATAAGTAATTCTTATGCTAATAATCGTATTTAAAAAAATAACGATATTATCAAAATATAAATAATACATAGTACTTTGATTAAAAATAGTATTAATTGCATAAATTTTAAGAGTTATTACAAAAATTATATAAATGATATAACTAAGAATTCATTTTACGAAAAAATTTGATTATAAATAGGGGAGACTGGGTTAGGTAAACCCCGGGTTTAACAAATCACTTAATTTCATTTTAAAATTAAATATACCAGAAGGTTAAAATTTTATCCTAATATAGTTTTTATTAGTTTACATCTATAGACAAAAAATCTTATGAAATATTTAATTAAAAATAGAAATAAAATTTTGATGAAAAAGATTTTTACATGACAGAATTTTTATTTTTATTAAAATATATAATCATTTATATGTAAATTAAATTTTATGGCAAATTTTAAACACTCTTCTATAATTTAGGAAAGTTTTATGAGTATTATTATATCTAGATATTATTTCAATCATAATTTGTCAATTTAGAGCTTGTGGGAATAATGAAAAAAATTTCAAAATCTTGAAAAGGAAATTTCATAGCTGTTTTATGAGTGGTATTTATGATTTATGCTAAGAAATCATAATCTCTCCTTAAAATCCTTATTTTTAATGTCTAAAATGTTTATTAAATTAACCAAAATTAAGTTTCAATTAATTAGCTCCAATTTATAAGTATTATATATTTTGAACAATAAAACAATAAAATTATTCTATACGTATTAATAATAAATAAAATGCATTTCAAATATTATGGCCTGAACCAATGGTTTAGGAAGCCCCTTGAAGTGGTTTGCCGCACCCCCTTGAAGTGGTTTGCCTCACCCCGCTATTGGGACTTGTTGGACAAAATTTTCACTTTTACAAAAAAATAAAATTTAAAAAAATTGATTATATTCTTAAAATTTTTCATAAGGCACCTTAATAGAGTATAGTTTTGGTATCTAATCATATATTATTTTTTATATTATATAAAAAAACCAGGAGATATAGCCATTTTTGTAAAAATCGGTTTGAGCAACCCCAGTCACTAATATAATCATATTGCAATTTATTTGAACTTATAAAGAGGGGTCTACTTTTCTCTGAGATTTTGCTAGTTCATCTAGATTCAATATCTAGAATGCCTTATAAATATTTAATCGGGCTAATCCATTTAAACGTTTTTCACCGGTGGTATTTCTTAAATAGGTTTTTATTTTAAATTGAAAAAGATCTTTCTTTAGTTCAGGTACTAATTGGTAATGTAGGTAAAATAATTTATAATGTTTTGACATTAAGCAGGGAATCTAAAGTGCAATTACACATGGAAAGGGCTTGCAGAACATTTTTTGGTCTCAAAGAATACTCTATTCTGTTTTATACAACAATTCGGCATCACAAAGTAACTTATCAAATGAGCCTACTAAATTATCAGCGTAAAACTCTGAGATTTTCTTAATATCCTCTCGTGTTTCAAGTGTAATCAACAGTTTAGACTTAATCGGCAAAAGAAAATAAAAGCTTTTTAAAATAAGATTATGACTATTAAATCTTTCCTATAATTGAAATAAAAATGTATCAACAAGGGGATTAAAAATGTTTATTTTATAAAAATCCTCAATCGTAGATGCATCAATATTTGAACGATTGGATTGTTTAGAAACTATTCTAGGTTTAAAAATTTTAATCTCAAACTATTAGCAATCTCCTTTACTTTCTCATATATTTCATGAAATCTTTCACCCATATTCTCTGATATTTGTTAATATTTCAACACCTTTGCTCTATTAGGGATAATAGACAAAATAAAAATTAATTTTCATTAAATTTAATTATTTGAATCAATTTAAGAAAATATATATTTGTATATAAAGAAGGAATAGGTGGAAGGGAGGGAGGATGTAAATTTGCATGATAAGAATTATAGAAATCACCAAAAGAAGGGTACCCAGTAGTGTCTGCATCGGGCCTAATTTATCAAGCCCGGCCCAGTCCGAAAATTATTTTAAAATTTTTTGCCCGCCCGGCCCGAATCCAAAATTTTTTTAAAAATACCAGCCCGACCCGAATTTATTTAAAAATATGAGCCCGACCCGAATTTATTTAAATATAGAAATTGATTTTTATGATTACTCAAAATAAAATATATATGTTATATGGCGTCTAATAAAATCTAATATTTTTATTTTGCATATATAATTCAACATAAAATTTAAAAATTTAGATATATTTTTAAAAAAAACCAAAACCCGACACGGCCTTAAATATTAGACCCATAGCCAGCCCGAACCCAATTTTTTCTAAAAAA